GGGCATCAATATATTGCCTAGTGTAACATATCATTACATCTGTCACGATTGTTTCCGTAAATAAGAACAATAGAATCAGGGAGCACGCGCAGTAAAATATTTTTTATTGGCTAACAAGTTCGATAAGCCACGTATAATTTAATTGAACTGATCTCTATGATAGTGATGATGTTCTGGTACATTCTGTGGTTGGCCCATTTCGAGATTGTTCCATTTTATCACATAAAGTGGGCCGTAACAATGATATCGATAACAATGCAATATAATATCAGCGTGAGCACTAATTGCTATAATATAAAAAACTTACACTCTCACACCCCAACCCACTACGCACTTATTGCGCACCACTACAACACGACCCCTCACGATTCTTTCGCATTCCTTCACTATGGAATGGTTTCTACTTGTCATTTTTAACAAAAAAAAATGATGTTTTATTGATGATTTCAACTTATTCTATTAGAATAGATAATAAGAAGATAATTTGAGCATTGAAAAAGTAAAGTACATTCTCTATAATAATACCGAACATTTCACCTAGATAAATCCAATATTTTATTGTTTCATTCAATGCAATGTTGTCACAAAACGATCTAAACATCTTGCCTAAGCCTTTCCACTTTACTTAATTCAATACTACGCCGTAAACGTGCAACAAATGAATTGTTCAATAAATTCGGTTATCGTTTTAAGAGCGGTCAACGCCGCCTTGAGCGAAATTTTTTCCGAATCTCACTGACTCCGCTGTCATTACAATCATTTGTAGCTTGCCCATTACTCTCGGATAAGACCATTTTAATAATGTCGTTGTCATTTGCCATATCAGCAATTAAGATTGACTCGTCCGCAACAAATAAATTCTGTAGGTTTAACAAATTCGATAAATTAATATTAAGCATCGTTGGTTAATAAACACAAGTCTCGTACCTTCAACGGTCATGTTACTTTCCTATGGTATCTCTTGAAAAGAATATCTATTGTATCTCGCTCCGCTTCTGTGGTATTGTGAGCTAACGCAGAGATATTTTCTTCTAATTCGTAATCGGTAGGACAATTTTTGCTGGTCTCCTGAGTAAACCTCTTTAAATAATCACCTTTCTGACCCAAAAAATTTCTCCGCAAGAATTAGATGCTATTATTAAGAAGAAGAAAAAAGAATAAACAAAGGCTTAACTCGTCCCGTGAAATAATTGCCAATCGTTGCATTCATGGATAAAGTAATTTGCTTACGTTTATTTCGCCTACTTCGGGTCGCTTTATTCATCTTCTTCCCTGACCTCCCTGCGCGTTTTAATGTTGCAAATATGTCTGTGCTATTCGTCTTATATTGAATCTGTTCCAATTCTTTCGTTGTCCTAAAAATTATGTGTCGAACTATGATAGTGACTAAATAAAATAATTTATACATACTTAATCACACCATTCTCCTGGATTTGCAACAAGCTCTCCATGATAGCCACCAAGCACAACGCCTTTGGTAGTAGAGGTGATGAACCTTAAGCAATTTCAAAACATCAACAGATGGGTCATTCATTATCTGTGATGCTGCTTCTGTAAACAATAGTAGACTAGTTATTATTATATAATAGTTTGGTAAATTAGTCAAAACTATATCCAGATCGTTCACCTCTTTGTTGTCATTTGCATAACTTCGCGAACCTTTTGAATGAGCCGAGGTCTAAATGTTGTGAAAAAAATTTTTTATTTTTTTTATCAAGACAATAATTAACATCGAATATTATGTAATAGTTACAAATAATTAAAGCATAAATACTTTTAAGCAACAAACCTGTTTTTGTTGATTCATAATCGACCTCCAGAACGGTCGTAGTTTTTAAATTTGCGCCTGATCTTTTAAGAGTATAAGCCAACATTATTATTATGAGCATATCTGTTTCAAATTACTTAAGGACGAAGAAAAACGGTCGCTGCATGGCAGAACTAAGATTTTACTTATGTTATCACTTGAGCTGAGATTTCACCCATACTTACCCTTCGCAAAAAATTTTTAACAAATGTTCTATCTCTTTTAGAAAAGCGTTGGCTTCATGGTAATTATGCCAAGTTCTCGCGTATGGTGGAAGCGTTTTGATGACTTCTTTGTTGGAGTCCAGAAAGTGCAAGTAGGATATGTCTTCCGGAGGGGTATTAGCAACATATTTAATAAAAACTGTAAGGAAAAAAACCAAGTAATATTTTTATGCGAACTAATAAAAAGAGAAAGATTCTCAAAATTACCAGCAACCGTTTTTGGCATGATAGTTGACGGACAGAGTTTCGGTGAAATGCGTAGGAAAACCCTTATTTTGATTTAATCTCACTACCCTCAACTTTTCAGAATGGTGCTTATCAAAAAGCAGGTCGTATATATAGGATTGGATCGTCGGAGAGCGGGATCCCATATGTCTAAATTAGAACTTCCGATGGAGACCTCTTTTGGCAAGTCCGCATTCTAAATGTAGTAGGCGTTGAGCTAGTGAGGTTTAATCTCCTGCATTTTATTCTATAACATGTATCAACACAACCGCCAGATTAAGATAGCAATTAACAACAAAGTCAATGACGGTATGTCTTTTTTGTTAAATACGGTAGATATAAACTCAACTTTAGATAGAATAATTTACAAAAACTGTGTTACAAAGATGGCTCAGATTGGCATAATACACGTAATCAGCATGTTTACAATTCAAACACATCGAACTCAGCCTACTCACAATTTAAAAGTAAAGGCAATAAACATAAGTTTTATAAGACAATATGCTTTATACAAAGACTGTCATTACAAGCAAGAAAGTTGTACGTAATAATACTATTACAATATCCGCAGCTGTTGTGGTGAGACGCATTCAACTAAGACCCGGCTGGAGCTGTTGGCCGGCTTACAGCTTATCGAAAATTTACATAGTTTGGCTGACTTATCGAGAATTTTTTTAAAAAAAAATTTTTTGGCCGGCTTATCGAGACTGACTGTGTATAATTAGTCCGAACTATTAAGGTCATGTGGAGATATCCTCCTGACTTTATACATGTTAAAAAACAAGATTTCTTTACAGCTGAAAAATATAATTATGAAAAATAAAGCAACGTAATTTTTTATTTAATTAGGTTAAATTTTCATTTTCACGTGTAGTAGTAATAAAGTATAGAAGATAACTACTGCTATTAAAAAAAAAACTACTAATAAGCTCGCTTCTCAATAAATTTACTACGCATTGCTACATGTCCAGTTTAATATCGTTCAACTCTTCGGGAAGCATGCCATTTTTAGCCTTATCTGTTGTTGTTTTTTACCGTTATTTCAGCGATATTCATGGGATTATTACTGTGTGGTCTTTCTTCAAGCAAAAAATTCGATGAACTCTTCGCACCAAATTAAACTCGCTAAATTTCATCATTAAAGGTTCAGGTAATAGTAAGACCGTTATAGTTACACAAAAATTGAACAGGGTTGTACGATGGTCCCGATTAGGCCAAGCCTAATATTGAAACATGCGCGATGAAGTACTCTCCACGTTATCAAATAACAAATATTTATTAATGCGGAGATGGCAAAATTAAGAATGAAATTAATACAGATTAAGATGAACTCTCTGCGCGTGGCACTAAGATTGCCAATGAATAACCACACGCTTATCCGAAATTAATTCTTCTTTCACTGCGGAGCTCGGCAGAATTAATACATAAACTCACCACAGAAATCGAAAAATTTAAGGCACGTCAGCTATGCCACAGAAGCACAGAACATTTTTTCGAGACTTAATAACATGGAAGAAGCCCGTCAAAATGATTTTGGCAGAATTAGATCTCTAGAGAAATCTGTTACATCCAGATTTGTGTCAATTGATGCGGCTGGCGTACTGAATTTTAGAAATCAATACCAAATCTTTTTTTTTTTTTGTTATCACATTAAGTTTAATAAAAATGTCAATTTATGGTTGTGTAGTTTGTGTATGGGTGCGTCATGTAACATAAAACGAAAGCCCGTTTTCAGCGTTGCTTATTCACACGTTTGCACTTTTAATCGCCTTTCAAGGTTGAGAGCTATTCTTTTACAAAAGTGTTTTATCTAAGCAAAACGTCAGCATCAAATAGGTAATCTTAAACAGAGCATACCTAACAAGAACATGAGTAGTTCGTTATTTGTCAATCGGACCTCTTAGTCTATACGATGCACGCTGTTTGCAAACGTCTGCCAGTAATTTTCGTCTTAATAATAATTCTTGTCTCACGTGATTAAAACAAACAAAGTATCTTTATCAGCGGTT